ACGCTGCAAGACCTACTGAAGATATGGACACCTCATCCAATCTCCTACACAAAGCAGAGCAAACCTCAAAGTTAAACCCAGCTGGCTTAAGTAGTTGGAAGTTGTGCTGGGACCACCTGAATTATCCTTAAGATATCCTTACAAAAAGAGTGATTCTTCAGAAGCATGAGAAAAGGATAATGAGACATGGCATACAGTTCATTGATGCATCATTTTCAGCATGTTTCCTCTGTTTTTCACTACTTGTCTGCAAAAATGCACTGAAATCTGTGTTTTTGTATACTTACACTGTAACTGTGCTTAACCCAGAAAACTGAAGATCCTGTTTGTATTCAGTCCAGAAATGTATGGTGAGGGCTTGGGGCGGAGTCGGGGGTGGTGGTGTGTGTTTTGTTTGTTTGTTTTAAGTTTTGTTTGTTTCCAAAGTTTAAGTAATTTTTAGGCTTACCCAAAAAGTAGTAAAAGCACTATCCTAACCCAGGGAAGTATCACTGCAATGATACATGCTGCTTGCCAAGGTCCATGTGGGGAAGCAGTTTAGGTTTTGTATTGGAGTGCAGTGGAAGGCAGATGTTGGGAAGATACCAATGCCGTTAGGCCTGTAATGGGCACTGACACATCCCATTAGGATTCATGATTAGTCCATCCTGGCTGTTGCTTTGCTAGCCAGGGAAAGGCCTCCTTACCCCAGCCTTCCAGACTACAGAATCAGCTCAGACATGCCTAGTGTGAAACTCAGACATGCCTAATGTGATCAGAGTAGCAGGTTTGAGTTATTGTCCTCCAGAATGCAATGATCATGTGTAGGGCTGCTCAACAGGTACCCTGAACAGCTTTGACTACATCATTTGCATGCCTTATTATCACTTACTTTTGTCATCTTTGTTCTCCTTTTCTCTGCCCTAGTCCCTTCCTATAAAGCAACCTGCCTTTAGTTACTTCTACTCCACTGGACCTAGTCTTGCTAGATCGATATGAAATCTGGTGTTTGTCATACTGTTACATATGCAATCTTGGTCTTATGTGCCGTTACTGATACAGTTACTAAGTCCTCCTGAGTTTGCATCTCCCATAAAAGGACCCCAAAACTCTGTTACCTGTTCAGTTTTCTCAGAAGTTCAGCCATTTTGGTCATTTGGTGAAACACTGGAAGAGGTTGCCCAGAGAGGTGGTAGATGGTAGATTGCTGGAAGCATTCAAAGTCAGGTTGGATGGGGCTTTGAGCAACCTGATCTAGTTGAAGATGCTCGTGTTCATTGCAGGGGGGTTGGACTAGATGACCTTTAAAGGCCCCTTCCAGCCCAAACTTTTCTATGATTCTATGATTACTCTTACTATCTGTGAAATCTGGCTGTCCCTCATGGTGCTGTTTATAACTTTTATCACCTTCTCATGGTGGTAACAGTGCCATCAAGCAATTTTCTCAAGTTACGTGCCATAGTTTCTCTCACCCTGATGAATTAGCTTAACCTCAAGTGAGAGCCTAGCCTGCAGAGCCTTAACATGCAGAACAAAACCAAACTTTGCCCTCAAAAAGGGGACAGACCTATTCCTTTGGCTTGTTTACAAGCATGGAAAAAATTTCCAGCAAAAAGACTTTCTGTAGGTTTTTTTATGTAAAAGAAAGATAGCAATTAAATTCTGGGGAGGATACCTGTTTTCTAAAACCACCCTGTAATAAGTTTTTTTTTCTGGTGTTTTGTGAGTGGAACTTGTCAGCAGTGGGAGGAAAAAGCAAAATAGTGAATTTTTTGCTGATTTTTACAATTTTATTATAGAAATATTCTTTCTATTTTGAACAGATAGGATGTTTGAATGAAGTTCAATGTAAAACTAGATCAAAATTAGATAAAGCTTTTTTTTAAAATGGGGATTTTTTTAAGAGACTGGTCTTTCTATGAGAGAACAACATTTATAGTAATTACTTGTTAGGAGCAGAGGATTTGGATATATGGCTTTGATGCTGACTGAGACTTTAGAAAAAAGTAATGGTTTCCCATTTTTAGAGTAATTTATTTGAATTTATCTACTTTGCTACTGTACATACTGTATACTTATATACAGCATCTTTGGCTGGCTAAAATCACACATTTTACCTTTTATTCTCTTTCCTAATCTCGTGACTTGGGTAAATTACTCTGGGTAAACTCCGTCCTGCTTCTTTTAATTTTGTGTGTGGTTTATCATTGTTAGTTTCTTGCTTGTGAGAACATATGATCATTCTAGATGGGAGAAGGGTTACTCCCACAGCAATGCTGGTACTATGTAAATAATATATATGAAAATATACCAGTGGAATCAATGTTGACAAGTAGTTGTGTCTGTTCCAAGGTAAATTCAATTGCAATACAAGGATCGCAGAAGAAAAGCTGAGTTCAATTTTTATTTTCTTACTTTAGGAAAACGGCCACTGCTGCCAACTTTTTCCTTTTGTGTTCAAACCTACCAATAGTCCCCTACATGATCAGACATGAGTGATGGTGCCAGTTCAAATGCTTTGTGACCAAGAAAGATGCATACAAACATTTATTGTTACAGAAAAGGTGGTGTTGCTGCAGTTGTTCAGAGGACTGGAAAAGAAAAAAGCACAATGGTCAAAACCTGCATATCCTTAGCTGCTACTGATGTCTGACTCTAAAGTCAGTAGAGTCATGCTGTCTTGTTTTTACATAAGGAAATACGACTTTGAAATAACGAAAAAGCATGACCCAGGAATATGATCAAAGACAGGATTTTGAAATATTTACACTATAACAAAGCTATAAGCTTTTTTGGGTGCACATGGGAATTGTCCACTGGAGGAAAAGCAGTTAAGTAATTTTGTTGATTTTATCTTATATTTTGGTGGAGTTCTTATATGTGTGGACCATCAGCCACATGCTAGACCTCCAGTGTGATTGGTACTGGATAAATACAAACGAAAAAGGCAGTTTCTGACTTAAATATTCTACATTTGTGTTGTATTCAATCAGTGTGTCAATAACACAATTCAGAATCATTCCATAAAAACACATGCATTTCTTAATTTTGGTTATAGCCCAATAGACTGCATATTTTCTCCTGTTTTGTTACTTGTATGATTTTTGTTTTAAAATTACTTTCCAAAACAGCAGTTGCTCTCCTTTGAAATTCTGGTTTAAATATAATGATTTACAAATGTCCTTCTTTACTATTTTTATATTTTTGTTTTTAGAGATATGTTTTAGAAAATGTTACAGGATGAAACTGCTGATGAGAAAGAGGAGAAAAATGTGCATGCGTGAAAAAATGCATAGCTTTAACTTCTTCTGTTCATGACTTTCTAAATAGTTTCTTCTGTTGGCTGCTGTTTTGCTTTATACTAATGTCATCTCTGTTTCTTGGCATGGGCTTCTGTTCAAGGCTATTGTGAGTATGGCTTTCTATTTTCTTAACACTACTTTCAGTTTATAGACATTTATTGGGTTTGGTTTTTTTTGAAAGATACTCACTGTGTTTGAAGTGAATTTAAAATTAAAATAAAATTTACTTTGAAGCTTTTATTCAAAGAGCTTATCTAAATGTGATTTAACCAGAAAGTGGAACACTGTAAGTTGTATGATGATTTTTACGTGTCTGTAACCAATAAAGATAAGAAACAGAAAAGAGGTAAAATTTCCTCTGTACTTCAGTCAGAAACACTCTACTCCCTGTAGATTCTATGAGGACAGGAATTTACTTCAACTAATTTGCCACATGTCTTCATGCAAATTGTTTCTTAAAAGAGGATTCTTCTTGATTTTTGTTGTTTATGGATCTTGCTTTTAGTGATCTAGTTCCTGGGAGGATATTTGTAGAGTTATAAAGTGCTCTAATTTCAGGAAAGGCACACAGCTGTGGAGGGAAGGATTACTACAGCAGAGGATGACTTTACAGTTGTGATCTAAAACTGAATGAAGTAAAAAGTTGGATTTTGGTTAGAATGTCAAAATCACATGTTTTAAAATAATTTTGAAATTATGTTAAATCTTCACAATATATTAAAACATTTAACTTTCTGTTTTAGTCAATTCTTCTGAAAAAGAAACTTGAAGAACATCTGTAAGTATTTTGTTTGCCTATTTTGTTTGCCATTTGGTGTTTTCCATATGGTAAGGAAGGCAGGCAGTCATTAATCATGCATCTGGAAAATATACAACTAGAAGAAATTAGATAGCACAAGAGTGTTTGGGAATCCACTGTTCAGATACTGTTTTCATGTCATAGAAAATCTTTGTGAAAGCAGTAAGAAGGATGAAGGAACCATTTTGTGGTGGTTAGAAGACTTTGCTTAATGTTGTGTAAATCTTTACTCAGGAGGACTAAGTAATTTTGTTCTGAGGAAAGCATGTTAATGTAAACAAAATTAATTTGTTTATTTTTTAGTATACATTATGGCATAAAAGGTAACATTTTAGGAAGTGTTATCATTTTGTTCTGCTATTTCTGCAACTCTTTTACTTACCTCAAATGCAAAGAGCG